CAGGACGCTACCAGCGGGGAGTTTTCGCTTGACCTCGTCTTGGAGAAGTGCTTGGGCCTCACCTTCCCGCAAAAGGCGCGAAAGTTGTTTTTGGATAAGGTATGTTAATTATGTTGTTGCCTTGTTGCGACACGCACCGCTTTGCTTTGATGTGTCCCGTGGTGCGCGTGTGTGCGGAGTATTGAAACAGGAATTTCCAGTGCTTCCAATGGTGAAACCGAATATGTACGATGAAGGTGCACAAACAACCCGAGACCTACCGCCCGCCCTCTCTTCGGTACCCATCCACCCCGCACAAAGTCGCTGCCCCCCTGCTGCCGTGCGCCCAATAGCTCTGCCACGTTTCTGAAATAGCCTTGCACACGACTTTGACTCGAAACCTGCCTCGAAACCCGCCCCCATCTAACCTCCGTGTCTCTCTCCCCCACCCCGCCCCCGCTCCTCCGTTATTTTTGGGGCAGACGAACGCCTACGTCAAGCACTGCACGACGGCGCCGCCGCCCGGGGAGGAGGACAAGCGGAAGCCACACCAGATGAAGAAGTCCGCCGCGCTCGGTCGCGTCACGCTCGGGGAGCGGTCCGAGGAGCGCAACACCTACGGCATGTTCGAGGAGCAGCACATGGACGGCATGATTGGCATTTTCATCACCATGGGCCTCACGAAGAAAGTCCGGATGCGAAAGCACTGGAGCCGGTCCGCCCACGACAACTACCCGCTGGTCCAGCATGCCGCGCGACGTGTTCGAGCTCTTGTACTGCCGCTTCCTTCACTGCTCCGACCCCTACGCTCCGGAGCGACTGCTACCCGATGGCGAAGAAAACCCAGATTACGACTCCAAGTGGCATATCAGGAGTCTTCGTTTTCAATCTGTGTGTCCTGTTGAAAACCTTGGGTGTCGATTTTGTTTGGGTCTCGTCGTTTCGGTTTTGTTGCAGTTGATATGGTGGGGGCGGGACAGACGTGGGTCGAAGGGTACCGAAGCCCCCCGGAAACTCGAAGATTCTCCTCCGTCTACGGCGCCGCTATTTCACGTGCGGGCCGTATGGTTTGTTTTTGGTCTGCTGGCAGTGAAGTTTGGCACATGCACGCTGTATGAGTAGAGGTTTCTTCCGTCGAGTACATCACCCGACACTCAATTTTGTCTTGTAGTCGTCCTGGTACAGTAGATAGAAATGACAAATGACGAGCGTGTTCCTGCCGGCAACGGCCCACCCTTTAAAGTCCTGTGTTTCTGGTGCTCTTCCCTGTCTGGCAGGGAGCTAGTAGAGGTCCTCAACACTGCATGGGCGGCGAAGGTCGAGTGTGACAATTGGTTGTCGTACGACGAGCAAATGATCAACACTGTTTCGAAGTACTCGAGCAAGGTTTCTATCTACTGCCCGGCGAAGACCATCAAGCACGGTGAGCATGCGCACGCATTTGAAAGCTTGTCTCACGAAAAGGGTCTCCGAGAGTAGTTTGACCGTGGTACACGTGAACAATCCGATGTGTTTCTTGTCAACAAGTGGGGTGCGTGCAGTGGGCTGACTCCAAGGATATCTTCCTCATCAACACCATCCACGTCGCGCAACCGGCCAAGGGAAAGGAGGAGGAAGGTGGAATCGACCACTTCAAGCCTTTGCCTCTATCATAAGTCTGACTAGTGTTCTTCTTGACGTTTTTCTAGTTAGCATGTTGTCTACGCTGGTCTTGTCTGGACGCACGAGCACGAGTGCATCCGCGGGGGGTAGGGGATAGGGGGGAACGGGGTGCGTTTGAGAGGCTCAGTACATTCGCAGCCGGAGTCGGATATTGTGTCGTGCTACCTCTGTTGACGGTGGTCGTCCTTGTGCTCAAGCCTGTGCCCCACATCCATGTACCCCTTTTGCTCGCCAGCCTAAGCCTGTTCATCCCTCTTTTCACACGCAGCCCCCTCGCAACTTTACCCTGCGCGGTTCTGTTGTGCAGACTGAGAGCGAAGGGCCGCAAAGGTGAACCTCTGGATTTGCAGCAGCCTTGGATGCGTATGGATTACGTTCTGAAGATGTTGGGGGTGGATTTGGCCGACCAACAGAACGGGTCTCACACGCACGACCACAAGTCCTACACGAACTTCTGGCGCCGTGTGTATGACGCAAAGTTGGAGCAGGCGCTGACCAACGCGTTTTCGATTTTTCGCAAGTGGGTAGAACTTTTGATCAGAGAGGTAGAGGCCAAGAAGCCCATTGCACCAGGGGGTGAGTTGGAAGAGTTGGAGCTTGCGTCGACGGAGTTGGCGACACTGTCGAAGGTAGAGCGGGCTGTGTGGGATGAACAGATGGCAACGCTCCTTATGGCGAAGTGTAACGTCGCGAGGCCCAACAAGGGTGGGAGGCGTCCGGCCTCGGACAACAAGTCGGCCGACCCCGTGTGGGGTAGCGTCACCCTCAAGAGTGGACGCCTGTGCTTGAACCCTACTTGCAATACGAGGTCGACGAAAGGGTGCTCGTGCAAGCAATTTTGCACACGGGGGAATGAGTCTGGGCTTTTGATGTGCGAAACATGCTGGAAGAGCCCGGAGTCTCACGAGCAGGCGGCGAAGGCTTACTGGGATGGTGTGTCTAAGGGCCGCAACAGAACAGGGTTCGAATGGCAGAGGGGTTCAGTTGAGACTGCTGGTTGAGGCGCACCTGTGATTAGCACTTGTGTTGCGTTTTGTTCTTGGGGGCCGTTGTGTGATGGTTGTGCCAGGGTAGCCCGGGTTGTGCCAGGCACACTGCTCGGCGTTCGTTCGCGTTTGGAACGAAAATGTCGATAAGTAGCCTACCCGCCCCCCCCCCTTTTCGGTGTGTTTTGAAAATTTGAGGGGTGTCACGTTCGGGCTGTGACGGGGGTGAGCGTGGTGAGTAGCTCTGCATACAATTACCAGGACAGAATATTCGTGCCCGTTTTTCTTGTGTTGATGTGAGGTGGGATAAATGAGCTTAATTCGAATGCCAAACGAATTGAACGCACATGTTCTCGTGCACCTGTCGGAATCCCCGTGAACCTTCAAGATATTCCTGAAGGACAGACGAAAGAAACTCTCGCAAAAGAACCAAGACACATGGAACCTCGTTTCCGAATGTCTTTCTTGCCAAACTTATTTTTTTAATTTATTTATGTTTATTCGTTTGTGACACCCGAAGTGCAAGTCCGCCCTGCTCCGCGCGACCGACAACAACCGTGACGAACTCGTGTTCCTATTTTTTTTGCACAACGAAGGTGTTACGGAATGTTGACCCAACCCTTCACCATTAGCAGCAGCACGTGAACAACCAGCCTTTCCAGCATACACAGGGACACACCAAAGCCCGCCCCGTCAACACACACGTGCGCCGTTCATGTTTGAGACCTGGCTGATATTCGGTTGATGTCGAATATGCTGCACTACCCTAGCCCGTTCGCCCATTGGGAAATCGAGCCAGCACATTCGCCCGCCGGTCTCGGCTTCATCAAAACAGACAACATAGCTACCTTGCCCCGCGTGCGTAGCCGATGGCACGTGCGCCACACACTACATCGAAAGAGCGGCAAGTACAGCTACGGGCAGCGGCTGGTCGTCAGGCCAGACCGCGCGGCAGGCCTGGGTGAAGCACTCCTGCCTCCTCAGCTGAACCCCACGGCCTCGCGCGTTGAGCGCCGTCCCGGCGTCGTAGCAGGCCTGCACGCGTCGAGGGCATCGGTGTGAACGCGACAACATGGTAGGTGGTGCTGTTTATGCCTGTCCACATAGATAGATTCTCGACAACGAGAATTTGTCCCTCGGAAGATCAGGTCACGCCGCGAGGTGTTTGGTGTTGTCCGACTAAAATTAGTGGAACAAAGCACCAGCAATTTTGCTACTGCTGTAGCGCGTTTGATGACAGGCTGTGAACATGTCGACCCAGACGATAACAACCCCCCCGCCAGAACTATGTATAGACTACACATGTAACTGATCCGCCGACACGCCCGTCGGCGTACTTCCCGCACAAATAAGCTTTCATCACAAGCTTCTTTGTCTGCTGACAGCAGCAGGACACCAACAACGTCAAAGTCTAAAAACACCGATTCTCTCGCGGTGTCTAAGTTGTGTCAACAGCTGCAGGTCGTATATGTGAAGTATTCAACACAACAACACAACGTGCCTCTCTTTCCGGCCTAAAGTGTCAGCAGACCACAGACAGATATATGTCGTTCGTGTGACACTCCCACCACCACTCTGGCCTCGTACACATTTCCTGACACACATACACAGCAGTGCATACCCCACAACACAGCAGTCCAACACACACACACCTGATTCCTCATTCTTTTCGTTGTGATCTCAGCTCCTGCTGCCCTCTCTTCCACCATGGTGACGTCGATGTTGGCGATGTGTTCCGCGTGGTACTTTCCGCATAATCCAGCGTGTTGCTGTACGGCGGCCTGCCTCTCCGGCAGTTTGCTGATATCAGGGAGCGGACCCGGCGGAGTATCGTGGTTGCAGTACCGGGCACCAACAGCGACTGCGGCCGCTTGCAAAGCTTCGCGGAAACGTACAGGCGTTCGTGCTGCTATGAGCAGTAATTCTTGCCAAACGTGGAGCGGGTTGCCCTGTGGACAGAAACCCTCAGCATGGTGCTGCCAGAACGCGGCTACGTCGTCCATGTCGTCCATTATTGTCGACGTAAACTGCGTGTGTAGCGCTGGCCAGAGGGGCTCCGTGGGGTATCGACATCGCTATCGGCGTTGAAGGCATACGGGACTTTTTCAGTGCACTCTCCCTCTCCATCTATCTCTAACCCTAACTCTAGTTTAGTATAGACAGCGGGTTCTTCCAGTCCCGCGTGGCTTTTGTAAAAAAAAAACATACTGATTTTTTACACTGGGTGACACCTGTTCTGGCGTGCTTAGCAGAAGGGCCATGCGCGATCTTTCGCGGCGTGCTTGTGCCTAAGCCCTTGCAAGGGATAGGCCTACGTCCTCAATGGCGGCAAAGGCTCGTTTTTGACCCGACGGCAGTGCTAGACGTTGCATGATGTATGTGCTGTTGATGTGCATTTTGTATCTTCAGCAACATGCGTTCAGCCGCGTTTGCCGGATCGCATCCGATCCTGCGTGTTTCTAATGTTGTTGTGTTGCCTACTGAAAGGCACCGGAAGGGCACTGATCAAACGGGTAGGACACTGTTAGATTGCCCATCGCTCGGGGTGAGGCATTCGTGGTACCAGAGAGAGAAAGAGAGAAAGAAGACAGCCATCGTGCACGGGGTGCTGTGTTGATGCAGCAGCTACGAACCAGCCTTTTTCTATAGTTTGTGGGTAATTGCGATGTGTCCGTTGCGAATACGTGTAGCCTAAGTCCATGGTGGGTGTGGGCCTTCCCCCTTTAGACCGTTCGGGGTGCACCTGATACTATATCCCCGGCCCCGGCCACGGCACATGCCCTATTTGCTCGTGCTAGCTGCGCGCAACGCCGCGGGCGCTGCTCGCAACGTATGTGTGCGGCGAGTCAGACTTCTTCGTCCTTCTTCCCCTTTCTATTTCCAAATTTTGGACTATTGGTGGTAAACAGCTTTTTGTGCCTCCCGGAAGAGCCACGGTAACTCCCGTCACAAAAGGGTTAACTTCTTAGGACAGTCGACGACGTAATTCACTCCACGTTTCAAGATAATGGGCATTATTTAAAACGATGAAGAGTACAAGATTTGTTGGAAGAAGCCATCTGTTTTGACACCGGCAAACAACTGCGAAACCTGTTCGTTACTCTTATTCTCGATGGAGCACCGGGCAATCTTTGGAAACACTTTAAACCCCAGCTTACGATAGACTTCCGCATGTCAAGGTTCGAGTTCGAAGCCACAAACGCAACCCTTCGCGAGATCGACCTTACCTTGCAGCATCACGCACGAAACAATGAAAAGTTGGCTTACCTGCTGTTATCCATTAAGACACAGAATACCTACGTTTTAAATACATGTTTATCCCCGCCGATATGCTCGCCTTTACGAGCGAACATCTCCCAAACCTCACTTCTGAGCAACGATATGTTTTCGACAACGTTGTTGGTAGCGTAGTGTCACGTTCGCCGAACATGTTTATGATCGATGCACCTAGTGGAGCAGGTAAAAGCTTTACTGTAAAGGTTACATGTGCACATTTCAGGTCTGGAAACAAATTGGTACTCTGTGTTGCAAGTACCGGAATCGCCGGTCTCCAGCTACCCGGTGGTTGGACCGCCCATTCCATGTTTGAACTGCCTCTTGAAGAAAATGTTGCTGGTGCCATGTGCAATATTTCTGCAGAATCTCAACAAGCAGACGTCTTGCGAAATGTGACCTTTTTGTGTGTGATGAAATTCCCATAAGTCACCGTTTCTCCATCGAAGCGTTAAACCTCACGCTTCAGGATTTGATGAAAAACACAGCCATCATGGGAGGCATGTCAGCGTAATTATGCTGTGCACTAGCAGCAGTACGATGCTGCAGATGCCAGGAGGCTGTGTAGCCTACCTCAGAGGTTCACACTGCGTGCGGCTCCAACCGCGAGAGCCTTGAAATGGAAATATGAAGATGTTATATTTATTGCTGACTCCCGAG